TTGATATAAAACGCGAAAAAGCCAAGGTTATGTTTTGAGTTGTTTGCTTTTACCATTTCTAAGATATAATGCATGGCTTTGATGACGATAAATTTTTTTGAATGGTTCTGACAGAAAAAGTAGATTGTAGTTTTGTTTGACAATTATACCTAAGATATATATTTTTACAGTCTCTGCAAGTTTACAACAACTGATTTTCAAAAGAAAATCATAACAATGTGAATTTTTGATAAAACTCGCGTGATAAACCATTAAAACATTTTTTTAAAATAAAAAAAACCCATCAAAACATAATTGTAAACTGTCGATGGTGCCTTCGCAATGACTAGGATTTTTTAACCCTCTGTTAGTTACATTTCTCTATCTAAATATAAAAACGTATATGTGTATGCCTTTGCTTTCTGACATACGTATAACGATTTGGTACGTGTGGTTAATACTTTCTTTTGTTTGTATTAATCGTTAAACTTTGGTCGGCTATGAAAATTCGTTGTTGTAATTAATGTTGAAAACGTGGTTGTCGGGGTGACTTGTTAGATTAAAATCTTGTGTATGCTCTAAATATTAATTAACCCGCACTTTTGTTTGGTAAATAAACACTTAACAGTTCGACAAAAAAAAACACCTATTAGTCCCTGTTTAGCGACGTGGCAAGTTTAATCAGCTTTGATCGGGGGTTTTCAAATCGTCATTATGTTTCTGATCACATCAACACAGCACTAATATATATTCATTCTTATACCACGAAAGCCATATCACAGCTTCATTCCACTCCTTAATCTCTAATCATCTAAATTGAAATTCAAGAATACTAACATAAGTAATGTTAAGAATTTCTCAGAAGTATTTGATGAATGATGTTGTGATATTACAAACACAAGAATTTATGTCATCAAAATTACACCCACAGGAGAACATGCATTATCTATAAAGGTGTTTTTTTTTATAAAGATGGTTAACTTGTTTTTTTCCACAAAACCAGGTTTTAATTAACTAACTCAAGAGTTTCCGGCCAAAGAGTTGAAATGGATTGGTTGCACACGCCCGCAAGAAATTAAAGTCTACGAGCTCTAAAGTTACTGTCTTTCTTTTTTGACGTGCTATAGATTTACTTAGACTGCAATCAGTGCCGTGTCTAGACTTATAGAGGTTTAAGGCAAATTTTAAATCTTTGTAAATTTTTTTTTTTTAAACTTTTGTTTTAATAATTTTATGTATCATTATAAACTAAATTCTATTTAAAGTAAGAATTTAGTCATTTATTCCATTTTATGTATGTATTAGTATAATGATATAAATATATAGATGTAAGTATATGATATTTTGTTTAAAATCCTAAAATTTAATCATACAATCTATATTTATAATGGGTAAAACCACATATAAAAGTTAATTCAACCTACTAATTAAACTACTTATTACAAAGATGTAGTCCTTAATTTTGAAATTTTGTTTGTGGTCTAAGGCAAATGACTTTTTTGAATAAGGGAAGGCATGGCTCCGACTGCAATAACGTTTGCCAGTTATGCGAATCCATTTTTTTCGCCAACCCATAGATAAAAACGAACAAAAGTACATTGAACTTATTGAGATGCTGCGCACATGCGTTTTAAATCTTACAATGATGAATGGATAATATAAACGAAGGGAACATATATGGAGCATGATGATGCATGGCCAAATAAAGGTTTAAGACAACTCAAATAGTAGGTATTTAATTAAATATAAAGACATACGAATATAACAAACTATGCCCACGAATTGAAATCATTACCCTAATTCCCAATATTCTCCTTCTTTTTGATTTTCTGCTCCAATCCAATTCCATTATTACAACCTGTACAGCTCACGAACTTTTAATGATTTTCTTATCGTCTTTTTTTTTTGCATTTTGAGAGACAATTACAGTATATAAAATTGAGTGAAGGTCGCTGCCAAAGAAAGAATTTTTTTTTTGAGTGAAGATCTTCTAAATTTGCAGGTTCCAATTAACGGGGCCACCTTATTGGGGTATCATAATTAATTAATTTTTAAACAAGTTTGTTTTCGCACTGTTAATCACTTGTCATTTGGTCGTCGTTCATAGTCTATTTACTTAAATCATCGTTGATAAATTATTTCGCGACAAAAAGTTGTAAAGAAGGAAAGAAAATGACAACTACACGTGCGCCTAGCACGGTATTGCTGTTCGGTTACAATATACTCCAGTTACAATGTCTCTAAGCTTTCCTTACTAATACCATCTTTAATCGATACAATTAACTATTTCATCAGGAACTTATGGGGATATAGCACGGATGGTAGAGCGTTCGCTTAGTATTTCTAATATTCAACAATTAACCCAAAAAACTAATTTATCAAAAAAAAAAAATGGAAAAGAGCACATAACTGTTCTTCTATAATTGTTTTGTTTTATAACTATCCAATGCGGTTGGATATCTATAGTTAATTGTATGATTATAAATTCCTAATTGTTTCGGACACACTGTGTTTAGCGGAAACTAAAAATCAAGATAGCAAGCTCATATGTTAATGAATGAAGCTTAAACATCAGTAAAGTCGTCGAAAACCATTTGGCAAAAAAAAAAAACATCAGTAATGTCGTTGTGAATGAAAAAAAATATAGTATAGAGAAAAACTCGTCTGATCTGGTTACAGTATATGATTGCTTAGGATCTAAATCCAAAAATGACAATTAGGAAAAGAACGTTATTTGCGAATACAAAAATATAGTGACGAGAACCTAATGGAATTTGTTAATGAGGCTGTTAATGAAAATGACATATAAGAATAAAATTAAACAAAAAAAGACATATAAGAATAAAATTAAACAAAAAAAGACATATAAGAATAAAATTAAACAAAAAAAGACATATAAGAATAAAATTAAACAAAAAAAGACATATAAGAATAAAAATGTGTGAAATTATAAATCAGGTTGAACTAAACGATTAAGTATTTTAATTCCCACTCATCAATTTTGTATCACTCCTAATTATACTCGACTTATCTTGTAATATAATTTCTTAAGATATTTCAATTCACTATTAGATTATAATAAACATTCATAAAAGTAATAAATATTTTTTTTATAGCGACAACAAGTTAACATGTGGCAAAAGAAGCAAACAGAACGAAATCTTGAGGATATTCCCTGTCTTGCTTTTTATTGTTTATTTACGGCACAATGATTAATCACGAATCTACGAAGTTTAGCAATTTTTCTTTTTATGAAATTAAATTTATATAATATTATAATCAACGACACTTTTTGATAGCCGCGAGGAAGAAATGTTATAAATTATTCAGACCTCAGAGGAAGAAGATCTTATAGATTCTTTTGATGATGACCTAATTGTGACAAGGAAACATCATCTAGTAGGGTATTAATGACAAATATTCTCCAAAAAGAACGTCAATTTATGCAAAGGCATAAAACATTAAATTGGTAAGAATTCCTTTCACCAGCTTGATAAAGGATTCTATTTTCAAAGCATATACATATATATATATATATATGTTACGTATTGATGGAAAGTAAAATTTTAACAAAATATAAAATTAACTTAGCCGTGGGTCAGGCTTCGTTGTGATCGACCAGAGGGTCAGGATTCGTTGTCCGTGGGGAAATATTTGTACATTGTGATCTACGGCCAATTTCCAGTCCCCATGATGAGTATGGTACATGCCCATTAACTCTTTTTGCTATTTACAACTAATCACGATTATGATGATGATTATGGTGGTGGTGATGATGACACATTACAATATTACGTTAATTCATCTATTGTCACTTCCCAGTTAATGAAATTAATCAGTTTCATCTACAATATTAGTGGATATTTATTGGTTGGTTGACAATAGCTATTAATTCTTGGTATATATATGTTATATAATCATATATATATATATATATATATATTTGAATACTCTTCTTTTTTGTGTGGTGAAACCTAAACATGGATTTGTGTTCATGGCATCCAAGAACTGCATATGAACCCATAAAAAGGAGTTGATTTTATTTTTGAAATTAAATGTGAATACTAAAAAAAATGTTTGTCACATGTATGAAATTACTATAGAAATTATCAATGTAGAAATGTACAAAATGGACTCTGGACTATTTTTTGCAAAACGATTTGACTAGCGAGCGACATCGTGCGTGTTCACGAAGCTTATACTATTTGTCAATTCATAGTCCAAACTCGAAACCAGTGGTTTTCTAAGATTCTCATTTCTCACGTGACTGCATAATTTATTGTGGAACTTTTTTTTTAAAAAAAGGAATAATAACATACTGAGTGTGTATATTCCTTGTATTCGAAAACTTATATCATTAGCTAACATTATATTGGTAAACAAAAAAATATTATACTTGAAATACAGAAATTATATAGAGTTTGACTGGTATGCCAGCTGAATAACAAAATAACACAGTAGTTGAATAATAAAATAGTAGAATTGATAGGACGAAAAACTCAGATTGAATAATTTTAAGACACCAAAAAATTACTATTTATTAGATAATTTATTTATATGAACAGTTATAAACTAACGTGTTGATTTTGTTAATCGAAATATATCTTATCAATTGGAAATCTTTTATTAAATTCTACTTTTTATCATTATGTACTGTGAATGGTATGTATTTGGTGGAATTATGTTTTAAAAATATGAAAACGTATAATATCTATATATCAATCAAACCTATATAAGTATTAGTTACCAGTTTGAATCGGGTCAACGGAATCAATAGGTACTTTAAATAAAATTATTTTTTGAAAATAAAAACTAGTTAACTTAACGCAATAATAAGCAAAATTCAAATAAATAAAAATGGGTAAACTGAATTAGTTAGTCAAGAATGTACAGAAGATACTCGTTCACTGATTTTTAATTCTCAAAAATAACTTACAAATACCCGTACAATACATGTGTCTCCATGCGTGGCTATAAATATATCTACCACTCTTCATTTATAGAATCAAGCTAACGTGTTAAAAAAAAAAACAATTATCTCTCAGAAAACAAAATATGGCGAGATATAGTTTTCCATCACAAATTCATCTTCTAGTATTAACGCTACTAATCATCATAACTCTTTTAACTCCGATCACAACAAACACATCACAACCATGGGATATCCTTTCCGACAACAACTTCGCCGGAAAACTCACCACCGCCTCATCCTCCGTTGAATCAGCCGCCACCGATTTCGGCCATGTCACCAAAATCATTCCCTCAGCCGTCTTAAACCCTTCTTCCGTCGAAGACATCACCGATCTCATAAAACTCTCTTTTGACTCTCAATCTTCTTTTCCTTTAGCCGCTCGTGGCCATGGACACAGCCTCCGTGGTCAAGCCGCGGCTAAAAACGGAGTCGTGGTCAACATGCGGTCCATGGTAAACGGGGACCGAGGGATCAAGGTGTCTAGGACCGGCTTATATGCTGATGTGGACAGTGCGTGGCTATGGATTGAGGTGTTGAATAAAACGTTAGAGTTAGGGTTAACGCCGGTTTCTTGGACGGATTATTTGTATTTAACGGTCGGTGGAACATTATCTAACGGCGGAATAAGTGGACAAACGTTCCGGTACGGTCCACAGATCAGCAATGTTCTAGAGATGGATGTTATTACTGGTACGTAATACGTGTTTTAATGGTTTTAACTTCGTACGTTTTGGCGAATAAAAGATGAAAAAAATCGTACGTTTTCCGTCTTTTCATTTAGATCTGCGCGGTCACGTATGTTTATGCTCTTATTTTGTTTTTATTGTTTGTCTCCTTTTTAATTTATTTCACGAACTTGTTGATAGCTTTTCTTCTTTTCACACATCCATCTAATCAAATATTTTTCTTTTTGTTTAACGAGTAGGAAAAAACACACGGACTAGGTTTAAAATAGGTGGTTGTAATAATTTTGTTTTCTGTATTAATAATAAGGCTATTTCTTCACTGAAAACGAGACAGAAGATTTAGCTGGAGATTTAGCAATAGATGATTTAGCATTATTGCTTTTCTAGCAACCGAAGATTTCATCATTAAAATCGTGAGAAGAAAGTATTTCTTTTGGTAGTATACGTTAAATTACAGACTTATAAGTATATACTTTTTTTTACTTAATTAAAACACTAGAATTGTGGTTTATGTCTTATATATTTAACCCTTATAAAATTCTTACATGTTATGAAAAGTTCGTCGAACCTAAGTCTGATTCCTGCGAAATTTACATATTGGTCATACAAAATACCCGATGACCAAAAAAAACAAAAAAAAAGTTCAACCAAAATTGGTCCCACGCAGATGATTTTTCACGAGATTTCTTGTGGCATAAGGACAAAACTCAAAAGTTCATAACGTTTGGTCCTAACCAGGTGTAACGGATTTAAGTAACAGTCAATTTTCTTATTAATTATAGCTGTGCCCATTATGTCCACATATGCATCCGTAATTATGTATATATTAATATATGTATATGCATATATCGTACACATACATACACAAATACATGCATAAACTGTTGGTCTCAAGTATAGTTAGTTCATAATGAAGACTTTCTAGTTCCATTGTATGGTTAGGAAATCAGATAAATTAATGAGACCGACTTTAACGTTTAGGCTAAAAACAACGATCGTTTTGTTTGAAACTCGTTGAATTGCTGCATATTATATGATAGTCTTTGTATATTCTTATATAATGGTCCAAGTTTGTTAAAATAATTTAAGACTAAATAAAATTTGTAATTTGGTTTATTCTCTATTTCTCTGGAATCTTATAGGAAAAGGAGAGATTGCAACTTGTTCCAAAGACATGAACTCTGATATATTCTTCGCCGCGTTAGGAGGTTTGGGTCAATTCGGAATCATAACAAGAGCCAGAATTAAACTTGAACTAGCTCCGAAAAGGGTATGTGAAGTTTGTAAATTATAGGAGAGTTTTAATGTTATGTAACTAAAGAAAAATTTGATCAAATATATGGTTAAACATATCTGTGTTTTTGGAAAAATTTCAGGTTAAATGGTTACGGTTTCTATACACTGATTTCTCCGAATTCACAAATGATCAAGAACGATTGATATCAGAAACAGATGGTCTAGATTTTTTGGAAGGTTCTGTTATGCTAGACCATGGCCCACCTGATAACTGGAGATCAACTTATTATCCACCGTCCGATCACCTAAAGATCGTCTCAATGGTCAAACGACATCGTGTAATCTACTGCCTCGAAGTCGTCAAGTATTACGATGAAACTTCTCAACGTACAGTCAACGAGGTATACACGAATAATTAGGATCTTTACTTTTACTGATAATTAAGCAACTCTTTCATAGTTAAATGTTTTATAATTTATCAATTTATTCAAACTTATGCAGGAAATGGAGGAGTTAAGCGAAAGCTTAAAGTATGTAAGAGGGTTTATGTATGAGAGAGATGTGACATATATAGATTTCTTAAACCGGGTTCGAACCGGAGAGCTAAAATTGAAATCCAAAGGCCAATGGGATCTTCCACATCCATGGCTTAATCTTTTCGTACCAAAATCTCAAATTTCAAAATTTGATGATGGTGTCTTCAAGGGTATTATACCTAGAAACAACATCACTACCGGTCCCCTTCTTGTTTATCCCATGAATCGCAATAAGTAAGTTAAAAATTTAAGATTCTTATCTACATTTTTCAAAGTTTTCAAGAACTAAACGTCGGAGTTTTGTTTAGGTGGAATGATCGGATGTCGACTGTTATACCCGAAGAAGATGTCTTTTACGCGGTCGGGTTTCTACGATCAGCGGATTTTAACAATTGGGAGGATTATGAGAAAGAAAATATGGAAGTACTGAAGTTTTGTGAGGATGCTAAAATGGGAGTTATACAATATCTTCCTTATTATTCATCTCAAGAAGGATGGGTTAGACATTTTGGTCCGAGGTGGAATATTTTTGTAGAGAGAAAGTATAGATATGATCCTAAAATGATATTGTCGCCGGGACAAAATATATTTCAATAATTAAACTTGTGTTAGGCGATAAGTAATTGGGTAATTGTTAGTCGTTCTCGCTTTTTTAATTTATATAGACTAATTAGTTTATGTGGTTGGCCATTGATTATGATTGTTATATTAAATTTTCAAAAAAAATATTAACATTGTGCAAAATATCCTACAAATTCTATTGAATAAATTATTTTTAAAAAATCTATATTTCAGTGGGAGAATTTTGGTTTTAAGAATTCAAAACAAAAGCATATATATATATATATATATATATATATAGTTAATGATCTTAAGAAAGTGGAATTGATAGCCTAGGTAAGTGAAGGACATGATCATAAGATTCGAAAGTAAGTCTACATGTGTCAATGTGAAACCTATCTTTTGTTTTAGTAAATAAAGAATTACATATTAAACATTCAATTAACGTATAATAAAATAATTATGTCTCAGAAATGTCCCCAAACTTTTTTGTTACAGTCTGCGGGAAAGCAGGAGACATCCACACTTCTTGCCTCCCTTTTGTTTTTTTTTTCTTTTTCTATCTCTTTTTCGGCTTCGTATTTTTAAAATATTTTTTCTGTACTTTGAAGATCTTGGTCGAACAAAATCCACGAATAAAAATATAATTGGTGGATCAGAATCGAATATTTTTGATTTTCATTATCGCTATTTTTCTTCGCTTCTAATGTTTATATCGGTCAGTTGTCTGGATTCTTTTCTAAATTGTTTAATTTAGTGCTAGCCATATTGCAAAGTATTTATCAAAGTCGACATTCTTAAATCTATTTTTTGTTAAGTATTTCTTTGCTTTTAACACTAGTTAAGAATTTCTATATGAAATTATTAGATTCGTTCCTTTTCTATTATAATATTTAAAATCACTGATAATATATGTTAATAATCAAAGTATAGTAGTCACTATATAGTCTACATTTATCACATTGCTTTTTTCTATTACAAATACATTGCTTCCACTTTTTTTTTTTCTATTTTACTTTCTGTAACAAAGAAGGATTCCGATTAATTTCTTAAGCAAAATAAACAAACGACAAAAATGTCGTGAAAAGTGGAAAGCATATGATGAACGCTGTAGCCGTTGGCTTTGAGATCGAAAGGAATCTCCAACATCATTTTTCATAGTAAGTACCGATTTTTTTATAGTATAGTATAATGTTTTTTTTAAGCCAAAAGGGTATTCTATGTATTCTGTATATTAGTATATATAAAAGTCGAAACGTTTGGAGATTCCTATATAAAAATATTATAATGCGAAATCTCATTACATCATTACTGAAAATATAATCATGAGATTCCCTTGCATATTTTATCCTTTTTTGCGTCATTACCATCCAGATTTGTATATTATATAATCTTCCGTTTTATTATAATTTTATACATGTGAACACATAACTAGAATTTTTTAAATCTTAAAAAAAATCCGATCTATTTAAACGTTTTAAGTTTTTATTTTATTATTTTATAAATTTGTAACTGTCTATGTAAAATTAATGATTTATTTTGAATTTTAATTATGCCAGTAACAAAAATACTAGAACGTAAACTTCAATGAAGTCGATAATTTAAATTTAATATAGACTATATTGTATTGTAGTAAACTTCTTAATAAAAGGTGTAAAAACTATAATGCATACAAGGTAAAAAATAGAGAAATAACAGATGGTGTTGAAATACATGCATGCAAGAGGGTCAAAATAAACAGCCTGACCCAAACTCCAATGGATTCGAGATATTTATAGCTCAAATAGACTTACCTATTTATTTTGTGGGTTAAAAGTTATATACCAAAAAATCCCATTTATTTAATGAATATAAATGATAAATCTATTGGTAACAAATTAGAGGTAATCCTTTTAACAAAAAAAAAAAAAAATTAGAGGTAATCCACCAAAAGTGATTTATTTATATATGGGTTAAAAAACCTCAACCGGAAACCCATTAAAACTTTGGCCAAACATGGTTAAACCCAGGAATAGCGACCGGTTTTGACATCCTTACATGCACGCTATAGTGAATTACGAACGTTGATTAACAGGGTAATCATGTAGTCATGTAGATCGATTGATCGAAGTAGCATGTAAGTCGATTCTAAACTAAAAGAAATCTAAAAAGGCAAAAAAAGAACCAAAAGAAGGCGAATTTAGAAATAATAGCTATAGGCCTCCAATTATTTGGCCCAAATATGTTGAGCTCTGGGCCGAATGTTAACTAATAAATGCCGATGTACAACCAACTTCGTGCTGTTTTGGTCAATATTGTTTTTGGTCTAATGTTTTGCTCAATATTAACCACACGCTCTTCGTTAAGAGGAATGAAACGAAAAATGCAAGTGGCAAATTGTCAAATGCGTCATAGTCTCTCATAAGTCAAAAGCAGCTGGCCGTTCTCTATATTTCCAACTGTTTTTTTTTCCTGCTGAGAATTAGAATAACTCAAGTTTTTGTTTTTAAGGTATTTTCGTTACAGTGCCTAAAAATATAATTTTAAAGATTATATCTAATATGTTGAATGTCTCACCTTGTATACGTGATGTCATTTTTCTGATTATCTACATGTAATTAGTTGATCGATGAGTATTATTAATTAATATGAAACTACAAGGGAAGTCCAGAACAATGCAAAAGCAAACATTTTTTTTTTTTTTTTGAAAAAACATCACTGTACATGACAAATATATTTATCACTATCGATTTATATTTGTGTGTCAAACTACTAGTGCATCTGTGCATGCAGGAGAAGAACGGTCTTGCAGTAGTCTGAACGAGGCATGCATTTAATTTAACTTTTAGGATAAAAATTCTCCAAATTAAAAATCTAAAACATTTATTGGTATGGTAGGACAAAATCTAAATGTGTACTATCGAATTATTGGTTCAACCATGTGGTTGTGAAAACGTTTCATCAGTTTTTTATTTTCTTATGAGAGTACACATGACTAACTATAAAACCCCGAATGACTACTATTATCTTGCATGCATTGTTTGATATCGAAATATTAATCACATCTGAAAAGAAGAAGAAAAAATGTCGCTCACCCTTACAAAAGGATTGCTGTTCAGTCACATTTTAATTGAATTAATCGTATTTAGCCGAATGAATTTCAAACAACAATCACGTAATTTCAGAGTTTCTTACTGGTTCCGCAATTTTGCGGTGTTCAGTCCTTTATGTCAGTCTTTCTACCAGTTTTATCGTGTAGCTGGCAGTTAAATAAAATGTTTTTGATTGTTTTTATATATTATAAAATTTTGATAAAAACCAGATTTGATTTTTGCTGGACATATCTTCTTCTTGAATACATTAGAATACAGTTATATATACATATATTGAATATCAATCTCTGAAATTTATTTTTAATCTCTGAAAATTCTCCAATCATAAGAAAAATGAAACAAACTATCAAAATGTGTACCATACATACTTTAGAAAACAGTTGTTATTAGTTCTAGAAGGTTGGATTTTATTATATTAGGTAGGATTGATATTCTGGGAAGGGCCCATTATATCGTACTTGTATTAAAATATTCAGAAAGATCAATCGTGTAACAAGGAATAGGAATATATATGTATAAGAGTAAATGAGCTATATAAAATCACATGGTTATACTTTTTGTGGTAATAGTAAAGATTCTTCAACAATCGACAAATAGTTATGGAACTCCCAACTCTGTACGATCTTTTTCATTTGAGTGGCTTTGATAAATTATCAGTACGGATTACTTATAAATAATTAAAGATACTCTGAGGCTCTGAGCTAGGCGTCGTTTTTTGTCAATCTTGTTGACATGGATATTTATTCATGCTGCATTGATTATGAGATCGAAAAAAAATCTTGGAAACTATAACCAATTTCTTAAAAATTTATTATTGTCTGAAAAATTCATTAAGAAAAAAAAGTAATACCAATGTACAGCATCAACGAAAGTATGAGCCACAGCAAAACTAATAATTTATTTATTACCTTAACAAAAGTTTATAATTTACTACTCCCTTTGTTCATAATTATTTGATGTTTAAGGTTTTTGCATACAGTTTAAGGATTCATTTAATTTTTATTTTTCCTATACTAAAAATATTATTTAAATATCATTCAGCCAATAAGAAAATAATCTGCAGGATATAAAATGTCAAAAACTATAAAAATTCATTAAATTTTGCATTGAAAAGTGAAAAGATCAAATAATTCAGAACAAAAAAAACCTTTTAAAACATCAAATAATTCTGAACAGAGGGAGTATATTCTTAAGTTTCAAAACTAAATTCTGGTGAAAACAGTTGGGTAAACCCCATAAATAAAAGTGGATAAAATTATAATTAACTTATAAAAAATTGTTAAGTGGTTTAGTTAATTCACAAAAGATAATAAACCTATAATTGGCTAAACAACAACCTAGATTTGCTTTGTTTTTTTTTGTCGACACCTAGTTTTGCTTAAAACTGAAAAATGTAAATTACTATAACACAATTCACCCAACAATCTATTTTATTAGTTAAAGCAATATTTTAATAATAAGTTTTCCTGAGCCTGATTAAAAAATAAAATAAAAATAATATAGATATGTATACATATATCTATATATGTATATTTGCCATCCTCTCTTGACCGTCTTTCAAAACTTTGTACCATACGACTTTGACTCGCTCTTTCTGAAATCTTTCTCTCCCTCTCCTTTGGCTGCTTCTTCTCTCTACTTTTCTCTACTTTAACTATTTCCTTTCATTTTTATTTTCAAATAACAAACTAAAGAACGAACGAAAAATTTTCCCTCCCTCCCTCCATCTTTTCTCTCTCTCTCTCTCGGTGGTTATCACAGAACCTAAGCAATGAAAGTCCATTCATCTTTTCTTCTTCTTCATCATCTTCAGTTCTCATAATCTGTTATTCTGTTGCGAGAAAGTGACACGTGTGATCATCCTACATGGACGCAATCTTCTTAACGGATGATCCGAGTACCCGGAAACAGTTAATCGGGTCGCTAGCTCAATCTTTCGGATGCGCTTACGTTTGTCTCTGGTCCTATTATTTCCCTCGACCTTCTAAGTAATAATCTCATCTTCCTCATTCTCGATCTTTACATGTATACACATTACACGTATATGTTATTTTTTTGGTCGAATTTCCACGTAAATTTTCATGCATCTTCAATAATGTATGATTGTTTTATATATATATATATATATATATATTCACATGTCGGATTTGATTTTGAGCTGCAGCTACGTGATATCATTGGATGGATATTACAATGAAGCATCTCAAGAGCCTTCTACTTCTCTTGGAAGTTTAGCTAGAAGCTTATTCCATGAGTATCGCCAATCCGTTATCCCTCTCCAAAATGGGTAAATATATTCACTAATGTGTTATACAAATGGAATGTTTGAGTTTTTAAATATACATATATGTGTATAATATATGTAATCAAAAGTGTTTTGATTTTTCTGAAGATATGTACCAAGCATGGCGTTCATGAATAATCTCCCATACTTGGAGATTCGACAAGACGATATTCAAAGACTTGCTTACAACGACGCACAACGTCTATTTTACCAGGTCATTATCAATTCTCATACCATTATATACAATTACATTTCCATTTTATCCGTTATATGAATACTCACTGATAATCAATTTCTTCATTTTGTTTCATTAACTATCGCAGGAAGCCAGGATTCAGGTACATTATTTCATTTGAATGATTTTTTTTTCTTTGATAAATTTGATTTGCTTAAATTTTCAACCAAGTCTAATACATACATACATACCTATATATACATATAAATCAAAACATTTCGACTAAATGTAAATATGTATTATAATCAGACGGTGATATTCATGGGTTGCCGGAGCGGAGAGATCGAACTCGGATTGACATATGACGCTGCAAATGTAAGGATCCAAACGTATAATATTTAATTTAAGAAAACCATAAGCTTATTAAATGAACGTCTCTGTCTCTCTATCAATATATATATATATATATATATATATATATATTAATGTACATTGACCCAACGACAGATGAAAATAGAAGCAAGTCTTCGAGAATGGTTCCCTGAAGATTTCAATAGAAAGACTTCTCCGGTCAACTCCGACAATCTCCGGCCACCACCGCATCCACCGTCTTCCTCTTCTTCGTCTCTTAGATCACTAGACAGTCCCCAAAACGTCTCAGAATATTCTTCACTCTTATTCCCACACGTCCCCAAACCTTCAACGACTGACGCCGTTAACGTTCCGTTACATCCGCTGTTAGCTCCGGTCACCACAACAACAATGAGCAATATGATCCGTCAACAACAACATGAGCCTTTGTTCCTTAACCGTGATCAACGTGAGGAGGAAGCAATGACGCAAGCCATCTTAGCGGTTTTAACGGCGTCGTCAAGTCCTCCTTCTACTTCTTCCTCGCCGCAGCGAAAAGGAAACGCCACCGCTTTTAAGAGATATTACCGCGTGTTTAGCGGTAGATCGCCACCGCCGAATGTACGGAAGCAAAGTATTATGAAAAGAGCGATTTCGTTTTACAATACGCTTAACATTTACCGGAGAGAGCGTTTTGCAAGTAAAAACGCTACTACGGGCGGTGGTGATGGAAGCGGCAGCGTTCGCGGGCCAAACGCAACGCAGTTGCATCATATGATATCGGAGAGGAAACGGAGAGAGAAGCTTAATGAGAGCTTTCAAGCATTGAGATCTCTCCTTCCTCCGGGAACTAAGGTATGTGATAGGTTTTTTTTTCTTTCTTTTTCATGATTTTAAGTTCCACTTATACTTATGATTTGAATTCACTAATCTATTCAAGATTTGGTAAGAAATCTTTTATGAACGGCCAAGATTGTTTCTTTTCAATGATCATAATATTTGCTATAATTAAGAAGCTGATTACATATATCTCATATATGCTATAAGAAGCTAATGGTTATGGCTAAAACGTTTTGGACAGAAAGATAAAGCATCGGTTCTCACCGTTGCAAGGGAGCAACTAACTTCTTTGCAAGACGAGATTCCGAGACTATTAGAAAGGATTGGGGAGCTAGAGGCGAAACAAGCCGGAGAAAGAGAGATGGAATATGATTTAGGACCCGATGAGAGGTTTAACGTTCGTTTAAGACAAATACCCGAATCAACATCTAGCGAGAGAATTTTTGATCTACGAGTTGTTCACAGAGAAGACAACATTATGGCTGATGATTTGTTGATAAGGATTCTCGAATTCTTGAAGCAAATTAACAATGTGAGTTTAGTATCAATCGAAGCACGAACTCGAGCTAGAGAAGATGAAGCTACTTCGGTTGTTCTCGTGAGCTTAAGGCTCAAGATTGAGGTAAATAACAATCTTGATTTTATTAAACTGATTTCTTATAAGGAAAGTATATATTTGAGATTTACTTGTTATTTGTTATTCATTGGTAAAGGTTGGCATATACATATGTTATAATTTTACATAAAATATATGAAAAGGATTTAGTTTGCAATATTTGCTAAATTTTTATATAACAATTTAATGGGTTTTATATATTCAAGAGAATGCATTGATTGGTTGTATTATTTGTTAGGTGATATATACATTCATTATTTAATTAAAAAACGAAACACCGAATTACCTCTTCCACATAAATTATTTGATAGTGTCTAAATAATTATGTATGATTGGATACGATAAGTAGAGAATCACTAGTTTGGTCTTTGACTAAAAGGTTTCTTAGTCATTGAAGAAAAAAAAACGTCGTTAACAGTTTTGGAATTATTATTGTTTTGTAGGGTGAATGGGACGAATCAGCCTTCCAAGAAGCAGTCAGAAGAGTTGTTGCTGACTTGGCTCACTGACAACAAGTTTGATTATTTCCTAACCATATATTATTCATTCTTATAATTTTACTTTCTATTCCTCCTTTATGGACAGTCTATTTTATTACCCCTGGCGTGTGGCGGCTCCTATCGTTTTCGATGGTCCTCCTCTTCTTGTTCTTATTACTGTGGACTGTTTCAGCCGTTCTTCCCTATTTCGTGGATCAATCATGACCGTTTATTTCCTTCCAATTTTTGTGGTTTGTACCATTTAAATTTTGTAATAGGCAATCTTTATCTCTCTATATAAATTGTTGTAATTTTTCCCTTTTCTAAAAGGGCTGTTGTATATGTATCAGTTTAATTTTCTTTGGATTTTAATGATTAAATATGGGTCGTCGTATAATTTTTTTCACATTATAGAGTTGAATCATGTCCATATGGTACTAATTTGGTAATCAATAAATGAACCTTTCGTCCGTACCTTCAAGTTGTAGAGTTTGATTTTAGTTTGTTTAATAATTTGTAGAGGTTACTATGACGCGCTCTAAAATTATAATGGCGTCCAAGCAGTCCGACTAAATTAAAATATTTTCAAAACATATACAAGTTTGATTATATATATATATATATATATATATATATATATATATAATCTCTCCTAAATTTATGTGGCTAAGGTTAATATTCCTTTGTCGCCCAAATTGACTGAACTTTTTGCTAAATGGAGAAGGGAAACGATAATGACATCTGAGACTGAAAAAGAAAAGGAAAATTCAAGAGACTGATGAAGACATATTGATTAATTCCATTTAAGGAACTTACCTAGTTTCTTACCAAGTTCAAATAAGAGAAACATCTTTTTGATAAAAAAAAAAGAGATCGAAATACCTTCAAAGAGATTATTTCCCACTTTAAAAACGTGATTAATTCCAACGGACAATACTCTTTTTTTCGTCGACTGTGCATGCAATACCAACTTTTTTTTTAAAAAAAACGACGCATGCAGTACCTTTCATAATGTATAAAAAACTCAATGAAATTTGCTACTTCATTTTTTTCATGAAAACCCGTATTTTTAAACTTCGTGACCACGTAAATGGATTGACTTGCATTTCTATGAATATATATATAATACTCCAAGCTAAGTGTCGACTAAATTAAGTTTTGGTTCAAAAAGTCTGGTTTTACGTATAAATTTTTAAAACGGAGCTCTCTTAATACATAATGGTTTGATAAATAATGCCACGTTATGTTAATTTTTTTCTACAAAAAAAAAATCCGATTACAATATTATTAATATGAATACAAAATCCCAATAAAAAAAACATCATTTGATTTTCATAAAAGAAAATAAAAACAATTTTGCCAAGAAACGAGGGTGTGTGGGTCTTTTTTGTTTTGTTTTTGTTTTGTCGTCACGAGGGTGTGTGGGTCTAAGTGTTACAAAACAGAAAGTTGGGGCAGTCTGCAGAAATTTCAGAACTTATTTTGGAAGACGGCAGTTTTGACCCAATTTAAGGAAGAACCTTCTAGGGAAATGCTCTTCCGAATATGGTAAAGCTATATTTTTTATTTTTAACTATACTGACCAACTCCTGTTAAAATATTAAAATAACCTTTACGATTTATATATGGACTGCATTTAAAAGATCAAATTAACACTTAAACACGTGGAACTTTTTGAAGATTATGATTCTTAGTAGTTAAAGGTGAAAAATGTTGACTATCTTAATGGAAAAAGCGAGAAACTCAAAAGCTTAGCTAAAATGTCTGAAAACTTTGCCTCATTGAAATCTAGTCTCAACGAAAAATATACTCCCTTTGTTCAGAATTATTTGATGTTTAAGTATTTTGCACATAGTTTAATGGTTCATTTAATTTTTATTTTTCCTATATTAAAAATATTATTTATAATTTATTTAAATATCATTGAGCCAATAAGAAGACAATCTGCAAAATATAAAAGGTCAAAAACTATAAAAATTCATTAAATTTTGCATGGAAAAGTGAGAACATCCAATAATTCTGAACAAAAAAACCTTTTAAAACATCAAATAATTCTGAACAGAGAAAGTAATATTTTGCATCGATATTTAATCCGCTCAGATTATATATATGAATTTCTTATCGTATTAGATGATATCGGCAATTGAAATCATCGTAAGGCTGATCTTATCTAAAATATTAGTTAAAGAGTGAACCTAGCTCACAATTGCTCAGAACCTTTTTTTTTTTGTCGTGCTCAGAACCTAAACCTATAGCGCGAGCTTGGTTTCAATGATTTATTTTGGTTCGCGTTTTATGTTAATATTCAGTGCATACAAGTATACAACATTTAAATGAACTCACAATCTTAGACAAGTTTTTTTTCTTGTTAATTGTAAGCATAAATGGTAAAACGAAAACGGAATGAGAACATTATCTTTGCGTTTGTTGTTTACATTTTGCATTATACGGAACAATTGTTTTTTTTTTTTTAAATTGAACATATTTTATGTTTAGAAAATGTTATTTTATTATGTTTGATAGGACATGGAAATTGATACTAAACTGTTTCGTTTGTCATTAACTTTTTTTTTTCTTCCGACGGTCATTATCTCATACCTAATATTTTTGAATACTTTTACTTCTAAAAAGTTAGCCCCTGTAAGAAAATTGGAATTTGAATGAGATCAGATTAAAGGGCTGAATAATCATCCAAGCGAGCCTTTTTGATTAGTATCCATTCCATTGATTGAAAAAATTGACTTACACTTAAAAGATATATTTGTCAAATGATAATGATTGATTATTTTAAAGTTAAGTAGTTTCAGTCCTCTTTTTGGTAGGCTGTGACTTGTGAGGGAACATAACTTTATAGACTACTATGATCATTACAAACATTTATACAAAACCCTACATGCCTCAATATTTTTTGGTAAATTCATTCTATTAAAAGCTTGTGGTAAGAGTATCACAAATCACAAGCCCACTAAAAATCGTTGTTTGTTGAACCAGTACATACCATTTGGACTCAATATCAACTATTGAGAATGAAACCATTCATATACTAATAATATTGTATTTAACAATGAGTCTCTGTCCTCTATCATTCAATTAGTTGCTTTGTTAACGCAATAGTTATGGTGGAATAAGCGGACTTTTGACCATAATGAACACCAATCGACTCATAGAAAAACTAGATTCAAGAATTATCTTCATGAAAAATAAAGTTCATCTCAAAGATATGTAAAATCGAAGTTACGTAATAATGAAGAAAAAAAAACATGTGCACCCAAAGCTAAAACAATAATATTGATAAAAAGAGTAATGAAACCAGAAGACTTAATTCAAGTGGTAAACGGATATAATTGATGAACACACCAAGATTTACTCAGTGATAAAAAGAACCAAAAAAAAAAAAACACCAAAAATAATTTATCAAATATCTCATGAAAGCACAATCTTTTGCCTACAGCGAAACTTCTATCAGCAGTCCACAAAACATTTTGCCTCACATGGAAGCACATTCAAAATCCAGAACATTTTTTTTTCCTGGTTTTTAGATTTCGTTTACTGTTGCTTGCATTCAGGAGGCCTCTCTCCTTGTTGCCCGTCGTTAAGCTGAGGTCTGCCTCCTTTCTGCAATTTGATTATCAACTTCTATTAATCTATTTCATTATCACAAACTGATTTGCAACACCAGATTTAGTTTAAGCTTTATATATGCATGATTCTAGAAAGTTTTGTTTATAATTCTGTTTACTTATCTAATTCAGTTTTAGTCATCGAAGTGTTCAAGTTTCTATGAATCGCAGATTCATGCATTAATGACCTTGACCACTAATGTCAGCTATCTCTAATACATGGGTCAGGTTCTCTCATTTTGTGATCATGGTCGACCCTAAAACCTAAAATAGTTTATGACTGTTCCATTATTCGACAGAAACTATAGGTTTAACTCAGACCAATACTATTACGAGGGAGGAACTGGTTATGTACCTTGTGTAGGATTGACGGCTGCACATTTAATCAATTTCAAAAAATTAGTAATCAAACTAAATACAAAAAGTGTTGCTTACTACAATAGAAGGAGGCGTTCAGTACCTTCTTCTTGGTCTTGCTTACTTCTTCCTCCTCATCTTCGTCATCGTCTTCTTCCTCATCCTCATCATCTTCTTCTTCATCCTCATCTTCGTCCTCATCAATATCATCCTCATCGTCATTGTCTATGTCAAACTCCTCCCCTTCAATAGCCTCACCAGTAAACCATGAGACAGCATGAGGTATAATCTTCTCCCGGATAGTAGAACTACAAGAAGCAAGGGATACTTGAATAAGATATTCAAAAATTACAGCTTCACAATAAAGGATGCCATATAGACCCAAATGTATAGATCGACAGAGTTTATGTTCAGAAGAAGACGAACCCAATGTCATAATCTTGTTCCATCAGATTCTGAAGTTCCTCAGCCTGCACCAAGGACAGAAAACGTTAGTACAAAGTTTAATTAAACATAGTCATAATAAGGCATGTCTCGAAACCAGATGATATCATACTCTGTCCTCGTCAATGTCTTCGTCATCATCAGGAACTTGGGGAGGATTGAAGAAGTTGAAGAAGCTTTCGCAGTCTTCAGTTTTGGTAATTGGTTTCGCGTTCTTCGCACCTTTCTTAGGCTTCTTCTTAAGAATTTTCTGAGTTAAGCATTTTCCAGGATACCAATCAATCTCTGTCCTGAGAGAAAGAACAAAGAAACAGAATCCATGTTGGAACATAAGATTCTGCAGTATCTCATAAAGAAATATGATATGGAACAATACAAGAAAGTATCAACAATTACCCGATAGCCTTCTCAAGCAGAGGCTCATCTTCATCAATCATATGATACGCCTTTGTTAAAAGGGTGTTTTTAAAGTAAGGGTTCTGGTCGAAGAAAAACTCAAGTTTGAATCCCTTTGGTTCCTCTATCTTGCACCACTTAATATCTTTAAGATACATGAGGGCCCCTTCATCACGCTCTGTGATCTGAAATCAAAAGGAAATCAAAACTCTGGTCATTTAAATGGATATGAGTGGAGTAACTCTAAATGAACAACCGTAGCTGCAACACCAACCTCCTCAGATATAACATCATTGTTTTTCAGGGCGGTCAGCCAGAAACTAGGGACTCCTTTCTCTGCAATCCAACACGGTGAAATAAACAAATTGTGGTCTTTGGAGAATGATTACAGTTTACAAAGGCAAAGAGAGAGAGAGAGAGAGAGAGAGAAAGAGAGAGAGACAGTACCTTCTGCCGCTTTCTCCTCTCCTTGGTCCATCTTAGCATCCTCTGGTACTCCTTCAACTTCGGTAGTTCCATTCACAATGTCATAACGCTGCAAGTTTCAACACAAATTCGAAAATAAATTTAGTCAATACAGCTGCAAATAAAGGATATACAGTATAACATATGCAAGCCTCCAACTAATTTCATACGTTTCGATTAAATGGTTTCTGATTTGGATAGAGTAGTTAGAAGAAAAGTTCAAAATAGTTTGATCTTCTCACTACCAATTACCTTGGTGTACAAAGGCTGATACAACTTTTGATACTTGGCTTCAAGGGCAGCTCTCTCCTCGCGGAATTTTGCCTCTATTTCATCATGCTTGCCCTAAATGGAAAGAATTCTCAAATATCATCAAAAGGGTGCACGTTGGTTTTCAAATTGACTAGGCATGGAAGATGAATCTCATATGATCAAAAGGGTACAGATATACATTCAAGATCATGTCCAGCAATAACTATATTAATCTACACCAACCCACATTGTACAGTAAAACATCATAAACCTCGAACTTGTAAATTGGCAATGAAGATTTTCCTAACCTGAATCTCCCTCAAGACCTCAACACGCCTTCTGATTTTAGGAGTCAGATTCTCGAGCACATCAGAATGCTCTCCAGCCAGATTCTGCAGCTTGTTCTGTGAATCAAACATATAACAGTTACAACAAATCTCCATAGAAACTCAAATATAAAGCACGAAGCTATTCTCCTAAAAAAGGAAATGTCATTAAAAACTCAGAAAACGAAACCCCCAAAATCGCAGATTCCTTCAAGTATATTGCGATACAGAAAGAACAAGACAAAAAAAACTACAGATAACAGATAGAAATTCACCTTAAGAGCGTTGACAAGGCCTGCTCGATCCTCATTTTTAAGAGCTGCAAACAAAAATCAAATAGCTTAAACTCCTAAAATAGAAGGAAAAAATAGGGTTTAGAAATCTCGACTTAAAAAACTTTGACTAAAAAGAGGCAAAACCGGAGAAACAAAGGGCCGGAGCAAATCGGAAAGATATAATACCAGCAGTGAGATCGTTGACGTTGAAATTGTCCTTATCGTTGCTCATTCCTGAAAATCTGGAGATCGAAGTTTGAAATATTTCAGGAAAGAAGAGGAGGAATTGGAGACTGTGGTTTGAAAGTGGTGGAGAGATTGAGGACGAAGAGAAGACGAGGGTTTCTGGGTGGCGACTAAACACAAAAACGACGTGGCTTCCTTTATAATTTCCCTCGCTGGCATTTTTCATTTCACTTTTTTTTTTTACTTAACATTTCAATGAATACTATAAATTAAATATGCCTAAACTGTTAAACATCCATCGAATATACTTTACGTACCAGTAATACGTACTAGTATTAATTACGAATATAACAAGTTAATAACCACAATTTTAAAAAAAAAAAAAAATCAATAGCTTCATAATATTAATGCAAAATGCGTGCTGGTTTCGCAAAAGTTTGCTAAACATCTTGCCGTTTATTCCCAATCAAGGAACAAGCAGAAATGTGCATTCACAAAAGTAACAAACTCAACTGAAAAGCTACAACGACAAAGGCTAACGCGATTAGTTCATGGACTCTTGTCTTCTCCATCGTCTGCTTCCTTAGACTGATGAATCACGGACTCTTGTCTTCTGCATTGTCTTCTTCCTTAGGCTGGTTATCGATAACCGGTGGTTTTTTCTCTGCATCCACATAGCGACCTGTCATTGGATCAACCGGGCGAGTGTCTCTTGCTCCACCTTTACGTCCCATAGCCACCATTGGAGGAGGAGGAAGTAAACCTGATCTGAAAAGGAGACGTTGAACTGGATCTGATGGCTGAGCACCAACAGATAACCAGTACCTGTACAGAAAAAAAACAAAACCGAACATGTCCATTAATCAGAAACTACATGCATCTTTTGTTCAAATTACCCATTCAGAACAAGAACTTTGATCGTATGAACAGGTTCTATGTAATCTTCGCATGCGTTCTGATACTATCTACACGTCCTAATGTTAATTTAAAATGATGCAAAAGAGCATGACAAGATTCCAAAGCTACATGACCACTTGTGCAAAAGACGTTGTATAGGGTGAATGTTTCGGTAAGTATGTATACGAATAGAAAAATCAATAGGTTATCATCTCACGATAATAGGAAGTAATTTCAGAGCTTAGAGAAAGAGTTCAACAGAACAACTCAAGGCCGGTGAAGGAGTTACATTTCAAATATACACAAATGTGTTGATGAATTTCCACAATCATTTGAGGTTTTTTACTCTTTGACTGAATGAAATTCAACAAGGTATAACATTGCTTTCAACTAACTGTTAAACAACATGACATGAAAGAAAATGATCTAAACCAGACCATGGAAATATGCACATCCACATTTCGATGATAAAAACCATTCAAGACTGACGTCAGCTTGTTTGTATTAGATCGATAGACAGTTATATAGCGGAATGCGACTATGAAACAATGTATTACGATTCATAGAGGCAGCTTAACCCTAATTGATACTAGAGCACCTACCTACATAAACCCCTGTAGCTTCAACTAACCAAAAGACTTCGAATGCAGAAACCCAGAAGTTCAGAACAGTGATTCAAGTAAGTAGAAGACAGTTGCAAGGTTTTTCTAAATTGAACGAAGAACATTCTTTCCCAAAATTAGAATGGATATAATCAAATTAAGACTGCTTCCGATTAAATTAGCCTAATTTTTTCAACAGCTCCATTAACAAATTAGTAAAACTAAGAGACCTTCTTGTAACAGTGGCCTAAATCATCCAACTCTATTCACAAATCCAAATGTGTTTTCCAGAAACTAATAGGCACCCTCTAGAAGTGCATTCCAAGACCTCTTTCTGAGTAAATTCAACTGAAACCAATTCGGAAGCCAAAGAAAAGATCAGAAGAACATACTTTATTCGATCAAACTTCAGCCCCATTCTCTTACCACCGTCCTGGCCTGCACACAACCGAAACACCGAGATCGTGTAAGAACAAACGAAGAGAGCATTCGATAGCCTACGAACAAAAATGAACTCCAAACACAGATACAAATTCTTCTTTATCACCTGGCAAAGGATTGAAGTAACCTAAGACCTCGAGATGCTTCCCGTCTCTAGGGGATCTGCTATCAGCGGCCATAACTCGAAAAAATGGTCGATTTTTGCATCCGAGTCTCGATAATCGGAGCCGTACAACCATGTTTCTCTTCCTTTAGCTAAATTACAAAATGATCAAAGCCTGATAATTCGATTGTTATGGATAATGAGAGAGCGAAAGAGAGACTGAGAAACGAAAGTTGAGATCGATTAAGATTTTAGGGTTCAGGGTTTTTTTCTACGGTGTTGGGTCCTTAAACGACGCCGTTTTTCAGTGACGTCCGCTTCAAAACCGTCTTTTATTTTCACGGCGCCGTTAAATAATCAAGAAGGCGTTTTCATCATCCCGCACCTATAAACAAGCGGGTTTATATTAATCGCTTCGCCGCCACAAAGACGGTCTTTTTCCGGCGACGGCGAAACGAAGGTGGCCGTTCCTTCACCGATTGAGATTGTATTTCTGGAAGCGACAATGGAATCTTCTGTCACTCCGCTTCCTTATCGACGCTCGCATCTGTCGAATCAGACTTATCGCTCTACGCTTCATCATCTCTGCTCGAGTTTCGATCGGGAGCCCGGAGTTTCTCTTACCACACCGGCTATTCTTCAGGATCTGGTGCTAAGAACAGGTGAGTTCGAGTAAAACTGAACTTCTTTCTGTGTGCTTAAGTTTTATAAATTTCGATTTTGTGTTATGAAGAGTTGCCAGAAACTATTAGTCTAATCTCAATGTAGTGAGTTTGAATAGTATGATCCTGTTTCTGATGCTTTTGTGTTTTCTGAAAATAGAAATTGCTCAAGCTTCTCCGGGAGAAACTTGCGAACCTGGAAAAATATGTGCTGATGAAAAGCCGCCGGAGAATCTATCGATACTGGAACCAAGATCCGATGGAGGATCTGGTGAGTCAAGAGCTGAGAAGGAGGAAAAGATATTGATGCTTGGAGATGTTTTTGATGGAATCGACTTGCAAGATGCATCTGTTGGTAATCAGCACAAAGATTTTTTCGATGATTTTGAGCTTATGATAAATGACAGTGAAGACTTTGTTCCAGAAAGTTGTGTGAATTTCTCTGAGACACTGGATGTGAATGACTATGATGTTGATGGTATGGCGAAACAAGCTCTTGTTTTTGTTCAAAATGTCGCGGAGAAGCCTAACAACACTGCTACTGAGATTCAAGTAGATTCAGTAGAAGGTGACGATAAGAAGGTTTCTGAGATTATTGGGAGTAAGGCAGAGGAAGTTCCCAAATTAGCTGAATCTAATGAAGTTCTAAGTTCTGGAGTTGTGGATATTAATAACGAAACCCTTGCTAGAGAGATGGAATCCGAGAAGAAACCTGTTGATTGTAGTCAGGTCGTGGCAGCTTCTATTTCTCAGATGGTTGAAGATGGAGATGTCGAAGAAGGAGAGATATCTGGAGATGATAATGATAATATGCTGATAGGAGATGATTTACCAGTCGAAAGACACGAGGATTCTCATGTCTCACAGGAGATAGTGGATAAAAATGGAGAAGGGACTAGTAAGAGTTCTTGTTCTGGTCCCTCTTTTGGTGTTGAGGTATTGAATGTAGAAAATGGAGTAAAGGAGAAGGATCAAACTTCCAAAAACCAAGAGAAGGTATCTGGAATATAAAAAAATGGATTGTTGTTATGGTCTCGTATATGGCGTTTACGAAATCTCACTTGTGTTTTTACTTTTTTTATCTGCAGATGGCTTCTGGAACTCGCATAAAGAAAAAGTCTGCGCCTTCAAAGGAAGCAAAAGCTAGAAAGAAGGTAACATATCATGGGAACATGTTGCAATCTGTTTTTTTTTTTTTTGTGGAAATAAGATGTTTGCTAATTGATAAGCTATTTTTATGCAGGCCAAATTTCGGAAGAAAAGAGCTCAAGAGCGTATAGCCCTTGGCGTGAAAAAGCTGCAACTTAAACCAGTAGCTCCGAAACCAATACCTATAAAATATTGTCGACACTATCTCAAGGGACGGTGCCATGAGGTATGTACAATGGCTCTGAATTCTACAAAATTCCGTGGAATCTAAACTGTTGTTTTCTTGTTGCTGATGAAACTTTTTTTCTTTCTTTCATGTTTTGCAGGGAGAAAAATGCAAATTTTCACACGATACAACTCCAGAAACCAAATCTTTGGTATGATTTACTGTTTCAAATACATATACTACTCTCTTGAACTTTATATACAACCAATCATTTAGAAAAAAGCTGAATCATATATATTTTGTTTTCTCTCTGGTCTCTACTCAATACTCATGTCTTCTTGTTGTTTCAGCCTTGCTGCTACTTTGCAACCCAGTCATGTATGAAAGGAGATGATTGTCCGTACGACCACGATCTCTCCAAATACCTTTGCAATAATTTCATTACCAAAGGTTCTTGCCACAGGGGTGATAATTGTTTGTTTTCACACAAGGTATAAAACCAATCTCGCTCTTCTCTTAAAGCTTCTTCCGAGTTTAAGCATATAATTGATCTTTAGATCCTAATTTACCAATCTTCACTTTACAGGGCACTCCACAGGCTGCTTCAGATACACCGAGTGCAAATGTAACAACCTCATCAACTAACATCACTGCAGCGTCTTTCTCACCTCAGAAATCAAATAAACAAACAGTGAGAGAGGCCATAGCAAAATTACCGACGATCCAAGCAAGAGTGTCAATCCCAGATATGTTTTTGAAGCCCTCGAGTCAAGCTAACCAAAGAAACTCATCTGATGCATCACCTCCACAGATTCCTCCTCTGAGAAAACCATCCGTTGCTCCAAAGGGTATGAGTTTTCTCTCTCTCGAAAAAACCTCACAAGAGGATACCGTGAAACCACCGTCTCTTGGGTCCAAGCAAAACACACAGAACTCTGATAATCAGAGCTTGAAGCAGTCACAACAGAGAAGCTCTGTTCCTATGGTGCCTCCAAAAGGAATTAGCTTAACATTTGCATCAGAGAAACACAAAGCTCTGAATCAAGAGCCGCCTCAAGAATCATCAAGTAGTAGAAATCTCAAGACAACGCCTAATTCACACATTCAAAGTTCTCTAAACTCAACCATGAAACTCGCTGCAGAATTCGAATCCGCTAAAGTTGAGAGGCGCACAAATGACTCCGCAGAAGCTGTAAATAAGGGCGATGTTGCCGTTAACACGAGTGTAACCAGAAACTCAGGGAACATACCTTCTAAGATTCTCGAGTTTTTGTCGAGCTTCCGCCATGGCAAAAACTGATCTTTTTCTGGTTTTTTTAGATAAAAGGATGTACTGTGTAGATGTAACGGATCACGGATGTATTGAGTATTTAAAGGTCTACTTTCTTGTGAGGTTACGGGAGTGATAATCGTGAATGTAAATATTGCATTTGAAGTACGAATAGAATAACGAAATGATTCGTGCTAGTCAAACACGGATATGGTCTGATTTCAATTGCCACGTGTAGTAGAGAACGGCATTTTGTAGTTGATCCAATTCAAAGTAAGAAACGAAAACTCATAAACAATAACTCAAAGGAGATCAAGATCTGATTTGCTTTTTTCTTTAAGGAAAATACACAAATCACTATTTTTTTTTGTCTACTACCCATCTACTAAGCCACGGTAAGTTGAATCACTATCTTAAAAAAAAAAAAAAAAAAAGCTATCTTCGCTGAGTCGTCAGCGGTTCAATTCAATTTGTCAATTTATGCTGTACATTACGAACCTTTGATGAATATTAAACAAAGGAAAATAATTATACACTACTCTTGAATAGTTGAATATATTTATTTTAATTTCGAGTTATTTTCGTCAATAATGCATGAAAATGCTATTAAAAGGTATTTATGTATATTATGAAGGGTAAAAGAGTTATGTCGCCAGGTAAATCCATTAATATATGATTTTTTTAAAATCAAATAACCAATAATAAATGATAAATCCATTAATATATAATTTACTATTTAGATATCATCATATATAGTTATATTGATCATAAAGGTTTAGTATCTTTTATAAACAAAAGTTTAATATAGAAAAATGCTAGAATTACGTATGTAGGTTTTCTTTATGGTCGTCACGTATGTAGGCTTTTCAATTTTCATTTATGTTATGTATGGGTTTTCTATATAATTTAACGGTTCAGAATTTATAAACCATTTCAACTTCCTATTGGTTGGTAATTCCTAATTTGGTATTCGTTGCCATGTATCAACTTGTTCCTGGGAGGACATACAAATTCAGAATCCAATCAAAATGGAAATAACTTTAGTTGAATTCTTTTATTTTTATTTATTTAAGGGACAACTCACATTAATGTTTATCAGTTATCCTGCGACTTCGTTTATTCGAGTAATTCTATTTATTGGGTGGTATATATTTCTTAAACCCATTTTGTACATTCATGGACTTGATATATTTTGAATAACCAGCCCATTTACTTTAATTGTACATATCAGCTTTTATTTGTGGAGGATATGTACCTTCTTCTTTTTTCACTGTTTTACATTTGTAATTGTATGCATGTACAATAATGAAATCGTGACTATTGTTTTAACTTTTAAACTAGGTGGGGATCCGCGCGATGCGCGGGGTTGCGAGGTCTATGAAGCTGAGAACTTATTTTTTTTTTATAATATCAAAATGCTAATGTATTATAGAAACTTTTAATTTTGGAAGAGCATTCATAGTCATAAAATTGGTTAGTTGAATAATTGTATTTTTTTTAAAATTCATTAATTCTGGAAACACCATTATTGTTTTGTATTCTATTTGTTTTATGTTTGATTCTCGACAATAAGGACAATCATTAATAGGAAAAGGATAAGTAAACTAAAATGTCATTTAATATATAATTAAATAAACTATTTAAATTGTAAAACTCTAAACCTTAAAAAAAAAACTATTGTTTCCTTACATTCTGAAAGACGGCCTTGTATACAATGTTCAAAATCTTGGTTTGTGGCTTACCCATTGTATCTGTTATCAGAATCTTCATACCAGCTCTTGAAGTAACACGACATATAACCACATAAAGTTGTCCATGGGAAAATACTGGTTTTGGTAAATACAGGCCAACCTTTTGCAAAATCTGTCCTTGACTTTTATTGATAGTCATTATATAGGCGATAGCTACCGGAAATTGTCTACGCCTCATTCTAAAAGGAAATCTTGTCTCTGTGGGGGAAACAAACATTTGTGGGATCAAGACCTTTTGACCAATATATTCTCCAGTTATGTGGCTAGCTTGAATAACATGTTTGGCCAACTGTGTTACCAAGAGTCTTGTTCCATTGCATAAACCACCTCTAGGGTCAATATTCCGAAGCATCATAATAGGTGTCCCTATTTTCAATTTCAATTCATGGTTTGGCAATCCTGAGATCTTAATACTATTAAGATATTTCTGTGTGTAAACTTTCTCGTCAATCTTGCCCTTATCAGAAGTATTGATGCTGTCCGAACTTAAATACTGTATGTATGTTCCTCAGCTAAAAAATGTTTTACGAAGTTCAGTTGATCGCATTATGAAGCTAATGTGTAAGATCGTATGTATAAAGCGTTAAATATGTTTACCTTTTATTTCTGACAACATGTATTCGTTTACGAGATCGTTTTTTTTGTCACATCTTCTTCTTGTTTTCTGTTTTCCTCATCTTCTTCCTATTTTACTTCTTCTTCTTCTTCTTCATCGCCTTTGTCTTCTTCGTTCTCTCCGACTTTATTTTCTTCTTATTTTTTGTCATTTATTTACAGCAATCAAATATATGTACTTGAAAACTTTAACTATTTCTCTCTCCTCATCCATATGTCCATCCCTCTTTTAATATTTATCTCTCATTCTCTCATTTCCCCCTCGTCCTAAATTTATATATATCATATGATTTAGATAACTACATTTAAAATAAGAAGTATTCAAAAATAAAAAATAGGAACACAAAAAATGTGAGCTAACATAGATTGAATATCATGTACCTATAAGGTTAACTCTCTCTACCATATCTCTTTCTCTCTCTTTCTCCCCCTTTCTCTCTCTCTCTTTCTCTCTCTCTCTCTCTCTCTCTCTCTCTCTCTCTTTCTCTCTCTCTCTCTCTCTCTCTCTCTCTCTCTCTCTATTTCTCTCCCTCACACTCTCTCTCTCCATCGACATGTCCCTAAAGCATCTTTATGTCCCTGAAAGCTTTAACTCAATTTCTCTCTATCTCCCCCTTTCTCCAAATTCATCACCCATTTCCCCTTCTTATTCTTCAATATTTTTCGTCATGTCATAATTTTTCTTATTATGATTTTTTTTCCTTTTTTCGGTCTTCTTCTTCGTCTTTTCCTTCTTCTTTATCATCGACGTCAATTTTCTTATTCCTTATCTTTTCTTTCTTCTTCTTCATCGTCTACAACTTTTATTTCATTTCTCTCTTCTGATTTGTCTTCTTCTTTTTCTTCCTCTTTTGTTTTGTTCTACTCTTCTTCCTATTCTTTATCTTTTGGTTTAGTTCTTCTTCGTATTTTTCTTATTCTTTTTCAGTTTTTTTTCGTCTTCTTCTTCAATCTCTAATTTTAAGGATTTTGCCTTCTTTTTCGGCCCCAATTTATTCATCTTATTTTTCCTCATAATTTCCTTTTTCTTCTTCATCATCTTTGACTTGTACTTTTTTTTCTTGATCTTCTTTTTCTCGTATTTTCCTTCTTCTTCTTCTTCATCGTATTTGACTTGTACTTTTTTTTCTTCTTCCTCTTATATATTTTTCGATTTTCTTATTCCTCACCCTATTCTTTCATCTTCATCATTGTCTTTGACTTCTGCTTCATCATCTTTGTATTTTCTCAGTTCTTCTTCTTTTTAAATTTTTATTAGCCTTCTTTATTCTCTACTTCTTATTCCTCTTTGGTCTTCATCAAACTCATCTTCTTCTGGTTTTTCTTGATCTCTTTCTCATCCTCACCTACTTCATTTTCTCATTTCTTCTTCTTTTATTTTGTTTTCTTTCGGTTTCCTTCTTTAACTAAAACATCTTTTTTTTTATATCCTTATTCTTCTTCACTATTTTGTGTTCTCATATGCTTTTTTTATTCTCAATGGTTTTATTCAAATTCATCTTTTTTTTAGTTTTTATCATTAACTACATCTTCTTCTTTATACTTATACTTCTAAGTTATAAAGAATTATAGGTGAATAAAAGTAAAAGCAATATATATGATTTATTAGGAAAACTCTTTGTATGTCTTTTTTAACAATAAATAACAATTATGAATGGCTTAAAATAAGAACAATATATAAATTATTAGTAGCAAAAACTAATTAGGAATCTGTTTAATTGTTTATTTTTATTGATGGTAACTAAACTTAGAAAGTACATTAGGGAAAACAATTAAAATCCAAATACAACAAAAAATCAAAGAAAATTGTTAAAATAAGATAATTAAGGAAAATTAATCAAAGACAATGCAAAGAATTGACGAAACTTATACTAAAAACATTGAATGGATCGACCAAACATAAAAAGGATTCATCATAGAAGCTGCACGTAACAAAGCAGTGTACATCATAAGAAGAAAGGAGTGGGAACCCATTGACTTTCCTTATAGATAGCTTCGACATACTCGGTATCATCGTGCATTAAACTCAAAGCATAACATGCATCTTTGAAAGTACGGTGGACAACACCATTAATTGTTCTTATATCCATCTAAAAACATGGATCGCGAACGACATGCAATAAAACCCTCAAGTAGTAGGCTTCGCCAGCGTTAGAGTTACAGTAGGCTATAATACTCGGTCTGGAGTTACCACAAAGACGGTGGTGCCATTGATGTTTTTATGATCCCAACCCCAATGGATCGGAAATTCAAAAGACATATATGATATGGCTTCAGGATAGTCTTAATTTAACGAACCTGTAAATTTATCGTTGTAAACATCGCAGAAAAATGTTCATCTTCTGTAAAAACGATTTGAGATGGAGGCAGATGTTACGGCAAAATCTGATGATCACGGAGGGAAAGATTGCTGGTCGCTATAGAAAATTCATAAAAATTTTGAAGGAAAGAACTATTAGGCAATGGATTTACATAAGATGAAAGTCTAGAAGCAGAAAAAAACATTTAAAGCACAAACTAAAATAAACAAACATGAATTTTTATTTACCTGACAATTTTATTGTAAAGCGGGAGATAAAATATTCAATTAGCGAAGTATGAACTATAAGAGTAGGTTGTCATTATGGAAATGCATAAATAATATATATATATATATCGATTTTTTTTAAAAGACATGGATTTATTTTTAAAAAAGATGCTAAACCTTAGAAGACGAACATTGTATGTAAGAAAACATGAAGACCAAGAGGAGTATATATAGCACGATGGATACGCTAGGATTTAGATTAGTACTGACTTTGATATCGATGTCCCATAACCAAAATCAGTGGCTAGGACCAAAATCGAGATTAGTGGCCCATAAATAAAATTGATGGCCCATAATTGAGGAAAAAAGACACATCACAGGTATTTCCACGTAAGATTAATGATTGACCTATCATAACAAATTAAAATGCCATATAATATTTTTTAATAATGACACATAGGACAATTGCTGTGGAGACAGCACATCAGATGTTGTGCGGAGAGGCAGAGAGAAATTGAGTTAAAGCTTTCAGGGACATATAGATGCTTCAGGAACATGTCGATGGAGAGAGAGAGAGAGTGTGAGGGATAGAAATAGAGAGAGAGAGAGAGAGAGAGAGAGGATAAAGAGAGAAAGACAGAGAGAGAAAGAGAAATGGTAGAGACAGTTAACCTTATAGGTACATGATATTCAGTCTATGTTAGCTCATATTTTTTGTGTTCCTATTTTTTTTATTTTCGAAATACTTCTTATTTTAAATGTAGTTATCTAAATCATATGATATATATAAATTTAGGACGAGGGGGAAAGGAGAGAATGAGAGATAAATATTGAAAGAGGGATGGACACATGTATGAGGAGAGAGATATAGTTAAAGTTTTCAAGTACATATATTTGATTGATATAAATAAATGAAAGAAAATAAGAAGAAAATAAAGTCGGAGAGGACGAAGAAGACAAAGGCGATGAAGAAGAAAAAGAAGAAAGTAAAATAGAAAGAAGATGAGGAAAACAGAAAAAAAGAAGAAGATGTGACAAAAAAAAACTTAAAGAATAAAAAGTAACAAAAAGGATATAGAATGAAGAGGTGAAAGAAAAAGAAATAAAAGAAAATGAAAGAAAACTAAGAAGAAAACGTGAGAGAAGAATGAGAGATAAAGATGGAAGACGATGAAGAAATTAAAAAAAAATATAAAAGATAAAAAAAGAAAAAGAAGAAAAACAATTATGTAAAGACGAAAAATTCGCTTTTGTCTTAATTCAATTGATTTGTGAGTTCAATAGTAAATATATTTTTTGTTAATTTTAGATGGTGTTTCTTTTTTGGATTTGTTTTATTTTATTATGTATATATTAAATAATTGTTTTTAATTATTTTTAGTTTTAATTTATAACATTGAAATCTCTATGCCCGGACAACAACAAATTAACAACAATATAAAACCCAAAAAATAAAATAGAAAATTAAAAAAAGGCGAGAAAAGAAAAATAATCACTAGAAATCACAAAAAGGAAATATGGGAGACTATGCCACAGAAACAAAATTCACCGGCTTACTAAAGTACAAAACCGATTTACTTTGAGAATGAGCGAAGAGTTGACCTTCGAGAAGGGTGAGTTAGTTGTTGTAGGTGAAAAACATATGTAGGCTAACGATATATATATAGTGTATGATAAATGTTTTAGGGTTTTTTTTAACATTTTTCGATGGCCTATTTTACAAATTTGGTGAATTAAACAAAATCGATGTTTTATTAACTAATAGTATAGATGACCCATTAAAATCATATTAACCATAGTGACACATAGGATTAATGATAATCCAATTAAAATTAAAAAAAATAACATATATATATGACATATAAGCAAATCACTCTGGTGTTGATACGTAAGAATTTTGACTTCGCAAATAATAGTATAGATGGTATGTTCCAATTCTTACTTTTCAAAATATATTCACTCCAACTCCAAATATTGATTATCTGTATTAATTTTCTGGAATAGAATTATTAGGCTACTAACATTCTCTTCTTGTCAAAAGTTGTTATAGTCAATGTTCGTATTAATTTCAAACAATCTCTTCTTTCAAAACTTACTTCATATAGTCAATGACTAAGTGCTCGTATTTATTTCTTCTTAATTTGTATGCGCGTTTTTCAAATCATCAACGGCAATTTAATTTCTTTCGTATGCAAAAATGGCAAATTAAGAAAGAATTATACTGTAAATAAGTTATATGAGTTTTTGTGATAAAGTAAGTTATATGAGTTTTGTATACTTTAACCGAATAATTTATAAGTTTTTAAAGATTTACAAAAACTCATATAAATTTTTATAATATGTCGATTTAACTTAAATAAAAAATCTTTATGATTTTTTGTGATAAAGTAAGTTATAATATATAATAGTTCGATTTTAACATTTTGTGATAAAGTAATTCACTTCAAGTACTTTAGAAAATTTAACGTGTTGTTTTTGTTGGAGAAAAACTTTTAAAATAGATGAAATGTATTTGATGAATTCATGAAAATTCAATTTAATTATATTTATTATTTAGACTGTAAAATTATTTTAGTTATTGATTTTTCGTCGATAAAAGGTGCCAAGTGAAAATACAATATCATTTAAGAAAGGTGTATATACAGGCTATCGATCATTTAATTTGGTTTACATGTTTTACATGTTGTATGCTTTTCCTACATTCCCTCCCAATTATTACATTTTGTTTTAAATACACATTGTGTCTAATTTCAATCTTAATTAGTAAGCTAAATAGATTAACGTTTGAAATATTAAGGGGATTTGAAAATACCATGCAACATTTTGTTAAATATACCGATAATAATTAAATACGAGTCTGCCCACGGACAGGTGTCTGCCCACGGACAGGTGTCTGCCCAGAGGCAAATGTACTGAACACATAGCAATGAGCGTGTTGTAATAGGCCATTATGTTTTCTTTTCTGGTATCAGGTGACTATATATTAAGACGAAGGCATGAATTTATCTCAAAAAGACATGATTTTACCTTTTTTACACACGAACATTTTTACGCGTACATGAAGGGCTTTAATAAAGTTTTGGATGTTATAAATATATAATATATATATATATTATTTTTCAAATTTGATGTGTTAATTTTATAATCCAAAATATCTTTATTATGAAGAAATTAGATGATATCATTTAAATTTAAATTTTAGTTTCGAGTAATAATTTAGGAGTTTACGGTAACAACATTGATAGTATAAAAAATATCAGATATGGATACTTCTCTGCAAAACTGTCTATATTTATATAATTATATGTATGATGACATTGACATTTGACAACATACTATATGGGGATGGAATCACCTTTGTATCTTTTATCAAAAAGATTCACCTTTGTATGTATAAAAAGAGAGTTAAGACATTGTAAACTCAAAGTTGAAGAAATAATAGATGTTTAGCTTCCTCTTCATTTATCTCTGTTTCTAAGTTTATCTTTCACTAATGGCGCCCAAAGATAAAGGAAAAGGAAAATTGATAGATGTAAGTTTATAATCTGAGTTTTTCATTTTTATTTTTGTTTACATTTCTTAAACCCTAAACAATTATTTCTTATTGATAATGATTTGATAGGTTCATGATAAATTATTCTAAAAGAATAAGAACTGAAACCTGTTTTCATCAGTATAATATTATATCTGTTTTTCTTCATTTTCTTCCACATGCTTATAATTAGATGTTTTAGCTTCTCCTTTTATAACTTATTTAAACATATACCAGTAGCAAATTAGTTGATATTTTAAAATTTGTTATAGATATTTTTTTAAAAAAATAGATGATAAAGAAACATAATTATATCACCGATCAGTTTTGAACGAAATTTTTGTTACCGCATATGCATGTCATTTTCTGGTTTTTCAGTTTGAGTCTCTCTTTCTCTCTCGCGTTTTGTAATTTCTAAACACTAAACCTAAAGTTTAACAAAAAGAAACACTAGACCAAAATATTCTTATACCTATATATTTTTCAATATAAATTATAATTTTTTATTTCTTATATAACACTAGGTTCAATCTTGGGATTGGAGAGGGGACTCCTGGGATTGGAGAAGCGTTGAAGGTGTAATCAGACCGACATTAGATCAAGGAGATCAAGGTATCATTCGATATACGCTTACAACTTCAAATTATGTTCAAAATTTACAAACTAATTGCAGTATCTTAATTCTATAAATCCGTAAATCATCAAGTCACACAAAATTGGGCACTTAAAAAAGAAAATATGGTTGAGATATTTGGGCCTATTGTTCTTGACGCCCAATAGTTTACATAACACCTAAAACGACAACTTCTCAAAAGTCAAAACACATACAGATAGACGACATAACAAGCATGAGTTAACGGCTGCACAAATAACGCTTTCGCTTTTGTTCTAATTAAGAGACTAGAGATGATTGAGAAAATGAAAATTCCAAGATTTAAACCATTAAATTTAAATGCATTTGAAGATAATATATATGATCATGTAAACTAACCACTGATTTTAACGTAGCTACGTGTTGGGCGTGTTCTGTGGTGAGGTCGGTGCAAGCTCTTTACAATATCAGTATTCCTGTCGTACGCGAACAACGTGAGCTATCTGTTCAACATTTGGTGAACAATGTCACGTTTGATAAAAAGGATGGAATCACCAACACAAAAAAAGCTTTCAACTACATTAAAAATCATGGAGTTTGCTCATCAGATCAATGTAAACAACAAAGTAATGTGGTGCATCAGTCAAGTTGTCGTCATGGAAATGAGGTCACAACTAACTATGCTCTCTCTCTGATTTCTTCAAACTAACTATTAATTCTTTAGTGTAGAATCTAAACATAAATCTATTACATTACGACCTTACTATAAAATTTAGGTGCATTTCTACGATATTGATGGCTACGAGACCATCACAGATGTTGATGATGTTACACTTGAAGATATTGTCAAAATGCAACCCGTGGTAGCTATACTACCACTAACAGAGGCATTCCAGAAATACGGCAAAAATCCCAATGTTGTAAGTGCAGGTCTTTTTTGATATATCTTAATAAAATAACGGTTGTTTATATTATATGTTACTTGATGTTTATAATGTAATTGTTTCAGAGAATATATGAATCTGTACCCGACTCACTTCCTAGTCGAGGTTTCCATGCTGTTCTTCTCATTGGATACGGGAACCATAATGGAAGGCCGTACTGGGTTGTTCAAAACTCTTGGGGTAGTGGTTGGGGATTTGAAGGGGGTTTTGGATACATATACCGCCAAACAAAGAGAGGCAGACGTTCGGTGTTTACTGAAGTTCACTACCCCACCAAGAAGAAACGTGATAGAGCTTGAAAGTGTGATGAAGTATGTTAATGTTTAAGACAATATGATTTGACTATAATTATATTTAAGAGCTTGAAAGTGTGATGAAGTACGTTAATGTTTAAGACAATATGATTTGACTATGATTATATTTAAGAACTTGAAAGTGTGATGAAGTATGTTAATGTTTAAGACAATATGATTTGACTTAATTCTATTTAAGAGCTTGTTTTGTTAATGTTTAAGACAACCTGAATTTGTCAATTTTTAAGACATATATTCGTATTTCTAGTCTCTTTGATTTATAAAAATCGCAAACTAATATCTGAGCGTAGTTGCGACTGGTGTTGATTGATATACACGTCCATATATCATACTTTTCACATTGCACTCAAGAATCAAGATCCTCTGCGTTGATAACCAATGACCCAAGGAAATCTTGCAGTTTTGTTTCATCCCAGCTTTTATGGTTCTCATGCCACAGATCATGTAGTCGAACAGAGGTTGCCTGTGTCAAGATTATGTGCTGGCCAAGGAGTATGAGAGTATCCATGAATCCTACTTGATAATCCTTCAAGATTAAATATCTCCCTGCTCCAATATTCGCTTCTAGTACATTGCCACTGGGGAGAATAACGAGCTCTCCATACTTGCGGAGGCAAGCATCAGTGTTAGTAACAAACTGTAATAAATATGTTTTTCAAGTATGACTCCAAAAAAAATCAGAATGACATACATAGAGAAAGAAAAGCTCATCAAGGCACAAAGGTAAGGAAGAGATAGGATACCCTTTGATGGATATACATACAATAATTGAAATGGATATCTCCTCGGCTCTAAACATTTAATCTATAATAAGGGAACCCAAAACTTGTCTTATGCAAGAACAATTTCTGTTCATTTACTTCATTGACAACAATGTTGTTGTCTTCTTGATGTAACTGTTTTCATTCATCTTCATCTGACCCGATAACTTCAACGCCATCTCGATCGAAAACAAAGGGGGTTCCAGGCACGGGAACCTCTCCAGGACCAGCTAGACGGAAGACAATTGGGGGTTTATCTGCATTTACCAAGAAGAAAAAGCAACCCCAAAATGTCAGGTCTGATGGCACCATAGCATAGGATAAAGTTATTCTATTTCATCATCTAATTTATTGAACCAGTGAAAATGAAGAGGAAAAGCAGCACACACCTATGTCGTGATACATGGGGAAGGGAGGATCCACGTGAATAGGAGCTGCCATCATCTCTTCATGACAAACACATAAATACGCACCAAGAAGTAAGTAGAATGTGGAACTTAACATCATACCCAATAGAAACCGCAAATTCCGTTTAAGAACTTAGCATTATATATATATATATATATATACTGAGATGCATATCAAACCATAGCCTAAGCAAGTATTAAAAGAGATCACACTTTGTTATTGCCTAGTTCATCAATTATTTCAGCCACAAAATGTAATCTGAAACCGGAAATCAAGGATTTTGGTGACAGCTACGTTCAGAAGCAAGATTGATAGTAAAAACATACAAAAGTCACAAGAAACTAGGAAGATAGTCAGTCACCTTCATCTGTCGGCTTGACCCTGAAAATGGGAATCTGAAACGAACCACCACGCTCTAATGTTTTAACTTGATAGAGTTTCGACTCATGAGAAGGAGAAGACATATCTCTAGCCCAGAATGTGATCCAGTGTGCCAAATAACCAGAAAACGAGAAATTCGCCGAGACATGCTCAACAAACACAAGGTTTGTTCCCTAAACAATATTAAGACCATGAAATCAACAACACACAGTAATAAATTCAACTGCAGAGCATTCAAAAAGCACTGACATTCTCTTGGTTGTATTTATCAATGGCCGTGAGCGTCACTTCCTTAATCACTTCCTCGTTGCTCCGTTCTTCTGTCCCACTGATTGGTGGTGCCCCATCGTAAGGGTCACAAAGATTGAAAAAGTAATCGAATTTGTCCCACTCAATCCCAAAACCCTAAATCCACAACCAAATCAGCAGAGAGGATGAACCCATATATAAAAGCTCAAAATGCTATTGTTGATTCAGGTAATCAAGACTCATGAAATCATCCATCTTTTGTTTCAATCAACAACCCACACGCCAGCCCTAATTTTTCGAAGAGTTTAGAAGAAAATCAAAATGGATAGGGCAAGATCTTACCTGGGTTTTGTGGAACTGATAGTGAAACAAGAGATACTGTCGTACATATTCATCCTTTTCAGGCTCCCAAACACGGAGTCTGGCGTATGTGGAAGATGGTTTTGATTCTACGATGGCTTTTCCGTCCAACTTCGGCGTCTTCTCTGGGCGAGAGGAATCCTCCTCCGTAGAAACAGAACCGGCCATGATCGGCACCCTAGAGTAGCTGCTTCTCGGAGACACAGTTTAACCCGATTCTGACGTGAGCTTACTTACTTACCACCTGTATGATGGGCTTATCATAAGCCCATTAAGCTCGTAACAGAAGTCTCAAATAGCCCATTAGTTTTCTCCGGACTTGTTTTTGTGAAGATTTGCATTTTTTTTCTATTGCTATCAAGTGGCTATTGAAATGACATCAAAAATTTTACTTTTGGAGCAATACTTATCCAAAACAATATTAGCTTTAAGACTGCTTTGAGTGAATAATATCCTTTCGGAATAATCAAAAGATAAGCAGATTAATTGTGAATATTAGAAGAGTTTTTAGAAGTAAGAATTGATGAAAATTGATGAAAATTGATGAAGATTTATATGATTCAGGATTGATGAAGATTTAAGAATTGATGAAAAGCGTAAAGCCCTTGGCGTGAAAAAGCTGCAACTTAAACCAGTAGCTCCGAAACCAAAACCTATAAAATATTGTCGACACTATCTCAAGGGACGGTGCCATGAGGTATGCCCAATGGCTCTGGATTCTACAAAATTCTTTGGAATCTAAAAACATTGTTTTCTTGTTGCTGATGAAACTTTTTTTTTCTTTCATGTTTTGCAGGGAGAAAATGCAAAATTTCACACGATACAACTCCGGAAACCAAATCTTTGGTATGATTTACTGTTTCGAGACGTATACTACTCTTTCGAACTTTATATAACACCAATCATATATTTTTTTTCTGAAAGAATGTAAAATTTATTCATCAAAAAAAAAAACAACCTGTTTACAAACATAGTGTATCCCTTTTTCAGAGAGTTTGATTTAAGGTAAAGAAAAACTGGATTTGAAAATTAAAGCAAATTAGGCTCAGCTACGGGTGCCAAACCATCGCACCAACCCATCCTCCATATCCCCTTGTCTTCGAAGTGTTCAGACTCTGTTACGGACTCCTTTGTCAATAAATCTGATGAGCTGGGTTGGCTGTCTCGACCTGTCGCCATGTTTCCTACTGTTGCGCTCCTTCCAAATACTGTGGAGTGTGATTTGAAAGCAGTACCGCAGGAGAAACAGGGATGTGGGATCAGTCCAGTTCTCTGTTTTGACCAGCGTCATAATGTCAGCCCATACCGTGGTATACCGAGTTCCAAGGAGTGTGTAGACAAGTGCCTTCCAAACCTGTGAGGAGTAACCACATGAGAAGAATAGGTGGTCTCGAGTTTCGACTGGGAGTTGACAGAATACGCAAGCGTGAGAAGCTGGTGGAACATTGGTCCACTGTAACATCCGGTCGCCGGTGGACAGACGATCATGAACCGAGAGCCAGGTCATGAAGGCGTATTTTGGAGTGGCATGGCGAAACCATACACCTTTGTACCAGTCAACCTTAGGTTGCTCACGTCTAATCAGGTTCCACGTTGCTTTGGAGGAGAACGTGGTTTTGAATTGATTTCCTTTGTTTTTCCACAAAAGCATATCTTCTTCTGTTTTCTGGTCTCGCTGAAGTACGCTGATGAGATCCTCTATCTCGTTGAGATTTGTTCCCCGGCGTCGTTGACGTCTATGTCTTGTTATTACCCAATACACCGAAGCTTGTGCAGGAATACCCATGTCTATGAACCCTCGTGGCCCTGATAGATCAATTAGGCGGCCTTGTGGAGACCACTGATCAAAGAATTTGATTTCCCATTACCAACATTAATTCGATAGAAGCTGCTGGCCAAATCCCGTAACTTTAGCAATTTTTTCCACATCCACGATCCTGCATTCATATCTTCCGCTAGAGACCAAAAGCTTTTGCCTCGCTGAATGTTTATTTGGAGCCACTGTGCCCATAGAGAGTTCTCTGGGTTGATAATCTGCCAAATGAGTTTCAAGCAACATATTTTATTCACCTCCTTTGCCGTCCGTAAGCTTAATCCACCTTCGTCTTTCGGCGTATCAAGAGCACCTGCCAAGCTATCTTTGCTTTATTAGAGTTTAGGTCCGGACCAGACCATAAAAAAGCAGCACATATGCGATCAATTTCCTTTACGCATGCTCCTGGGAGGTAGAAAGCCGAAGACCAAAAATTGGAGAGACTTGCAATAACCGATTTAATTAACTGCAGTCGTCCCCCGTAAGACAAAAACCGTGCTTTCCATGAACTGATATGTGACCTTATCTTCTCCAGCAAGGGAACATAGTCAGTTGGTGTCATGCGTCTCGTGGTTAAAGGTAAACCGAGCGTTGGCTGAGACCCCAGCCATATAAACTGTATTGATCTTTAGATCTTCACTTTACAGGGCACTCCACAAGCTGCTTCAGATACACCGAGTGCAATCACTGCAGCGTCTTTCTCGCCTCAGAAATCAAATAAACAAACCGTGAGAGAGGCCATAGCAAAATTACCGACGATCCAAGCAAGAGTGTCAATCCCAGATATGTTTTTGAAGCCCTCGAGTCAAGCTAACCAAAGAAACTCATCTGATGCATCACCTCCACAGATTCCTCCTCTGAGAAAACCATCCGTAGCTCCAAAGGGTATGAGTTTTCTCTCTCTCGAAAAAACCTCACAAGAGGATACCGTGAAACCACCGTCTCTTGGGTCCAAGCAAAACACACAGAACTCTGATAATCAGAGCTTGAAGCAGTCACAACAGAGAAGCTCTGTTCCTATGGTGCCTCCAAAAGGAATTAGCTTAACATTTGCATCAGAGAAACACAAATCACTGAATCAAGAGCCTCAAGAATCAGCAAGTAGTAAAAATCTCAAGACAACGCCTAATTCACACATTCAAAGTTCTCTAAACTCAACCATGAAACTCGCTGCAGAATTCGAATCCGCTAAAGTCGAGAGGCGCACTAATGATCCCGCAGAAGCTGTAAAGAAGGGCGATGTTGCAGTTAACACGAGTGTGACCAGAAACTCAGGGAACATACCTTCCAAGATTCTCGAGTTCTTGTCGAGCTTCAGCCATGGCAAAAACTGATCTTTTTGGTTTTTTGAGATAAAAGATATATACTGTGTTCTGTGTAGATGTAACGGATCACGGATGTATTGAGTATTTAAAGGTTTACTTTCTTGTGAGGTTATGGGAATGATAATCGTGAATGTAAATATTGCATTTGAGAAGTATGAATAGAATAACGAAATGATTCGTGCTAGTCAAACACGGACTTGGTCTGATTAGGACACAATCGTTCCTGATTGGAAATTAACTTACTAAAAAATGATAAAATGATGTTTCTAGTCACAATCGTAAGGTTCGGCTCTTTTTTTTTTTCTCTAACTTTGTGATTTGCGTACTATTAATTTTTGATTATCTGTATTATTATCTTTGGAACAGAGTTCCAGTATTAGGACACAAACAATCTCTTCTTGTCAAACTTGTTATAGTCAATGCTCGTATTAATTTCAAACAATCTTTTCTTGCAAAAACTTACTTGTTATAGTCAATGACTAAGTGCTCGTATTAATTTCTTTCTTAATTTGTATGCACGTTTTTTTCAAATCTTCAACGGTCTCCAGCTACTCCATTCCCCTTTACATCAAATTACTTTATATAACCATCACAAAATGGCAATTTAATTTCTTGGTGTAGTTTACTTACAACATAATTAGCGAAAAAGGTCACAAAATGGCAATTTAATTTCTTGGTGTAGTTTACTTACAAATCTTATGATTTCAATAGTTGAACTCGATTAAAACTCTTAGCGAATGATGAGAGTAATCTTATCATTAATTAGAGGTAGACAAAATTTATAATAGGTCGATTTTAACTTCTTGTGATAAAGTAATTCGGTTAAAGTATAAAAACTCATATAACTTTAGAAAAATTAAGGTGTTGTTTTTGTTGGAGTAAAACTTTTAAAATAGATTAAATGTCTTTGATGAATTCATGAAACTTCAAATTTAATTATATTTATAATTTATTTAGACTGTAAAATTATTTTAGTTATTAATTTTTCATCGATAAAAGGTGCCAAGTGAAAACAACATTGTTGGAATTATACACTCTCATTTTACAATCTCATTTAAGAAAGGTGTGTCTACAGGCTATTGATCATTTAATTTGGTTTACATGTTTTTCTAATAATTTGTTTTACATGTTTGTATGGTTTTCCTACATTCTCTTCCAATTCTTACATTTTGTTTTAAATACACACTGTGTCTAATTTCAATCTTAATTAGTAAGCTAAATAAATTAAGGTTTAAAATATTAAATACCATGCAAAATTTTGTTAAGTATACCGATAATAATTAAATATGAGTCTGCCCACAGACATGTTTCTGTCCAGGGGCAAATGTATATTGTAACACATAGCAATGAGTGATTGAGTGTTGTAATAGGCGATTATGTTTTCTTTTCTGGTATCAAGTGACTATATATTAAGACGAAGACATGAATTTATCTACAAAAAGACATGATTTTTCCTCTTTTACACACGAACATTTTTACGCGCATATATGAAAGGTTTTAAGAAAGTTTTGGATGTTATATTATATATATAATATTATTCTTTTCCAAATTTGATGTGTTAATTTTATAATCCAAATATCTTTATTATGAAGAAATTAGATGATATCATTTAAATTAAAATTTTAGTTTCGAGTAATAATTTAGGAATTTACTGTAACAAAATTGATAATATAAAAAAATCATATATACTCCTCTGCGAAACTGTACATATTTATATGTATGATGACATTGACATTTGACAACACAACATATGCGGATGGATTTGGAATCACATTTGTATGTATAAAAAGAGAGATAAGACACTGTAAATGCAAAGTTAAAAAAATAATACATGTGTATCATATTCTTCATTTATCTCTGTTTTTAAGTTTATCTGTCATAAATGGCATCCATAGATAAAGGAAAAGGAAAACTAATAGATGATGACCCTTCTTCAAAGAATGTTCGTTTATAATTTGAGTTTTTCATTTTTAGTTTTGTTTACATTTTTTAAATCTAAAAAAAAAAATATTTTTTATTTCTCCGATTTTTTTTTGATTTTTTGAGTAATATATAATTAAATATAGAAAGAAAACATATATATTACTCAAATTCTTATGAAGATATTTTATTTAGGATCAATCACTACACCATGGACAAATTCACTCGGTTGATTTAGGAGATTGAAGATGTTGATCTTGAAAACATTGTTACATGATAACCTATAATAACTCTAATTCTGATTATAGATGCCTTATTATGTTATATCAGCATCAACAACGATGTACAATGATATTTTTTAATGTTTTCGCACAAATTTTGCTATACATTATAGACATTATATATGTATTTTTATGTAAAATAAGAATCTAATTTTTAATTTGTATATTGAATTTATTTTCATAGTATGTAAACTCATTTGTTTTCAAAAAAAAAAGTTGATTGAATGTAATATAAAATTTTAGATAGAAAGAATATTTTTTTAAAACAAAAAATTGCTGTGATTTGCTAAGAGAAAAGAATAAAAAGATACTAATGACTATTTTTTTTATTCGGAGGGTAAAGAGAAAGAAAAATGTTATACATCTCATGATAAGAAAACACAAAGGAAGATGTAAGAATAAATTGTTTTTTCTTTTCTTACTGCATATATCTTTAAATCCTACTACTGTATTGTTTATAAAAATATATGTATGATCCTGATAATTTGGATTGGAGAAAAACTTAAGGAGGAATCGATTAATATAAACTACAGTTTATTTTGTGTTCTTACTTTAATACATGACACTACTTTTATTGGAGAACTATCGATGGTATCGTCTTAAATCCAGGATTACAAGATATTATTCCATATAACTTAAAAAAATTTGTTTAATATAGACAAATTAATTGTAGTCTGGATTCTTAAATCCATAATTTAGGGATCAAAAAAGCACACCCTACAAATGTTTTCTTTCTATATATACTGATTATTTATAAATAGTTTTGAATATATTTTATTTAGGATCAATATCTACAACGTCGACAAATTCACTCTCTTGAAGTCTTGTTTGACAAGATTGAAGATGTTGATCTTGAAAACATTGTTAGGAGACCACCTATCACGGCTCTAATTTTATTTACTAGATGTGTTACTAAGTTATATCTGCATCAGCAAAGCTGTAAACTGATTTTTTGTTAAAAAAAATGTTTATGTACTAATTCGTTCCAAGTTGCATATAGCTTCAGATATGCTTATTTAACCTTTGTAAATGTTTTATCATATGATCGCACAAATGATAGAATGAAGACAATATAATAATGCATGACTTCCTCATAATTGGATTTGAGGATTACCATGGAATACCATACTGGATTATTAAAGTTCATGGGAGAAACTTGGGAGATTGAGGATTTGTCTTTGTGTAACGTAAGACCGTACTTGGCCGGATAAAGAAAGATACAAAACATACGAGTGGTCGACCTATATATATAAACTTGTGATACAAGTAACTTGATTACGAGAAAGCTCTTACTACTTGGCTTGAAACCCATTACCCTATACGTTATAAACTCTTAATGCAAACTTGATTACGATAAAACTCCTAATACTAGACATGTGGAGCGTCACTCATGGCTCTGTTTGTCTCACTGATTGGTGGTGCTCCATCTAAGGGTCACATATATTGAAAAAGCAATCCAATTTCTCCCACTCAATCCCAAAACCACAACGATTCCAACAACAAGATCCATAAGCATCACATCATTTTCTCTGGTCGTTTTTATTTGGCAAGGGTATGAAATTATGAATATACATACTTCTGTATCTGCCAAGAATAGAAGATATGCACCGGTGCAAATGAAGAGGAAGAATCAGCAACTATGCAACTAGTATTTCCATGCATTCACCTAACTAAACACTTAAATGTCATGCAAGAACAAGTTTACTTTGATTGATCCCACAGCTAGTCTTGATGCAACTAGTATTCCCATTCATCTTTCTCTGACTCGGTGTCAGACTCAAATTCACCGCCATCTCGAGTGAAAACAAAAGGGGTTCCTGGCACGGGATCCTCTCCAGGACCAGCTCGACGGAAGACAACTGGTGGTTTATCTGTATTGCCAAGAAACAACCAAAAATATCAGCATAGAGGGCATTGGAGCATAACTTCTCCTCTCTAGTTCACTCTTGAAATAAATTTCTCATTGTAAACAAAGATACAAGACCAGCGCAAATGAAGAGGAAGAAGCACTACCTATGTCATGATGAATGGGAAGTGGAGTTTTCACGCGAACAGGAGCGGCCATCATCTCTGTGTATCACATAAATACACAACAAGAAGCAGAAAATATCCAATAGAAGCAGCAAAATATCCAATAGAAGCAGTAAAATTCTACCTAAGAACTAATTAGCATTTGTAGATAACCTAAGTAAGAAAGATAATCACACTCTGTTATTGCCTAGTTTCATCAGTTATTTGAGCCACGAGATGTAGTCTGTATACGAGCGGGATTTTTTCGTGACAGCTAAGCTCGGATAATTCAAGCATACAAAGGTCGGAAAGAAACTGAGAATGAAGTCACCTTCGTCTGTCGGTTTGAGCCTGAAAATGGGAAACTGATACGAATGTTGACGTCTTAGTACTTTAGCTTGATAGAGTTTCGACTCAGGACAAGGGGAGGACATGTCTCTAACCCAGAATGTGATCCAGTGTGCCATCATACCAGTATACCGGTAATTTGCCGAGACGTGCTCAACGAGCACAATGTTTGTTCCCTGAACAATAATAAGGAGAATATAATCAAGACGTTGCCAAAGTTATAGACTCATTAAAAGACCTTAGAATCAACACGAAAGCACTGACATTCTCTTGGTTGTGTTTGGAAATGGCAAGTTGGGTCAGCTCTTTAATCCCTTCCTCATTGCTCTTATTCAGAAACATTGACGGTGCTCCATCGTGAGGGTCACAAAGATTGAAAAAGTAATCAAACTTGTCCCACTCAATCCTGAAACCCTAAACCAACAACAATTCCAACAACAACAAAACCTCATGATGTTATTATTGATTCAGGTAATGAAGATTCCTGCAGGTCTTCATATTTTTGTTTTCAATCA